AGATTTTTAAATAATTCAAAAAAATCCCCAAAAAATGAGATTTTTAAATAATTCAAAAAAATCCCCCCCCCAAAAAAATGAGATTTTTAAATAATTCAAAAAAATCCCCAAAAATAAGATTTTTAAATAATTCAGAAGTTTGGATATACCCACAGTGGTTTTAGCATTCCTAATTAAAGGTGAAGAGCAATTTAATTGAACAATCTCATTATCTCTTTTTTATTTTGGGTTTTTTTGGGGTTTTTATTTTGGGTTTTTTTCCTTGTAAAAATCCATAATAAAACCATTTCCCACCATACCCAACAAAAGCAATTTTATAATTTCTTTACAATTTCTTTACAATTTCTCCTCCCTATTCACCATACCCACAGTGGTTTTAGTATTCCTAATTAAAGGTGAAGAGCAATTTAATTGAACAATCTCATTATCTCTTATTTTAGGTTTTTTTTCCTTGCAAAAATCCATAATAAAACCATTTCCCACCACACCCAACAAAAGCAATTTTACAATTTCTTTACAATTTCTTTACAATTTCTTTACAATTTCTCCTCCCTGTTGGCCACACCCACACAGTGGTTTTAGCACTCCTAATTAAAGCTGAAAAGCAATTTAATGAGATTTTAAAAGTGTTTAATTTTTTTAATTTTTTAAAGGGTGTTTAATTGCTGGATGTGACATCAGAAATGGCCAAAGCTCTTGTCCAACATTGCTGTTATAATTTGAATTTCCTGCAGAAATGCATCCAGTTTTCCTCTGGTTTCACAAATTGTTGTTATTTGGCTGTGAGACACAAAAAGTCAGAATTGGCAGGGAAAGTTTTCCTGAGTTTTTATTCATATTTTTTAATTCTTCATTTAGAAATTGATTAAAAGAATTAAAATCAGCTCATTATTCCATCCTGCTGCTTTCAATATTTTTGTGAACCTCAAGATTTCAACCAAACCTCTGCAGCAAAAAGAAAATGAGGATTTTTAAATTGAATAATTGAATTCAAATAATTAAATTTAATTTAAGTATTTTAAATTAAATAATTAAATACAAACTCACCTGTAGCCTTTAGCCTGGGCTTGGGCATTTTCTTTTCTTTCCTCTCTGGTTTGGATTTCTTGGAAACTTTCTTGTTTTTCTTTTTTGAACTGCCATAGTCACTGTCATCATCATCCTCCATCAGGAAGTCTTCATCACTGCCTGAATCTGCTGGAAAAAGAAGGAAATTTCAATTTTTTTGGGGAAAAAAAA